ATCAAGTTCACACATAACAATATTAACCTTAAATGTACATGGGCTAAATTCCCAATTAAAAGACACAGACTGGCAAATTGGATAAAAATTCAAGACCCATCAGTGTGCTATATTCAGGAGACCTGTATCACATGCAGAGATGCACAAAGGCTCAAAATAAAGGGATGGAGGAAGATTTACCAAGCAAATGGAAAGTAAAAACAAGCAGAGGTTGCAATCCTAGTATCTGATAAAACAGACTTTAAACCAACAAATATCAAAATAATAATAATAATAATAATAATAATAATAAAGAAGGGCATTACATAATGGTAAAGGGATCAATTCAACAAGAAGAGCTAACTATCCTAAGTATCTATGCACACAATACAGGAGCACCTAGATTCATTAAGCAAATCCTTAGAGACCTACAAAGAGACTTAGATTCCCACTCAGTAATAATGGGAGACTATAACACCCCACTGTAAATATTAGACAGATCAATGAGACAGAACGTTAATAAGGATATCCAGGAATAGAACTCAGCTCTGCACCAAGCAGACCTAATAGACATCTACAGAACTCTCCACCCCAAATCAACAGAATATACATTCTTCTCAGCACCACATCACACTTATTCCAAAATTGACCACATAGTTCAAAGTAAAACACTCCTCAGCAAATGTAAAAGAACAGAAATCACAACAAACTGTCTCTCAGAACACAGTGCAATCAAATTAGAACTGAGGATTAAGAAACTCACTCAAAACGGCACAACCACATGTAAACTGAACAACCTGCTCCTGAATGACTACTGGGTACATAACGAAATAAAGGCAGAAATAAAGATGTTCTCAGAAACCAATGAGAACAAAGACATAATGTACCAGAATCTCTGGGACACATTTAAAGCAGTGTGTAGAGGGAAATTTATAGCACTAAATGCCCACAAGAGAAAGCAGGAAAGATCTAAAATCAAGACCCTAACATCACAATTAAAAGAACTAGAGAAGCAAGAGCAAACAAATTCAAAAGCTAACAGAAGGTAAGAAATAACTAAGATCAGAGCAGAACTAAAGGACACAGAGACACACACACAAAAAAAACCCTTCAAAAAATCAATGAATCCAGTAGTCGGTTTTTTGAAAAGATCAACAAAATTGATAGACCGCTAGCAAGACTAATAAAGAAGAAAAGAGAGAAGAATAGACACAAAAAAAAGATAAAGGGGATATCACTACTGATGCCGCAGGAACACAAACTACCATCAGATAATACTATAAACAACTCTATGCAAATAAACTAGAAAATCTAGAAGAAATGGAAAAATTCCTGGACAAATACACCCTCCTAAGACTAAACCAGGAAAAAGCTGAATCTCTAAATAGACCAATAACAGACTCTGAAATTGAGACAATAATTAATAGCCTATTAGTCAAAAAAAGTCCAGGACCAGACAGATTCACAGCCAAATTCTACCAGAGTACAGGGAGGAGCTGGTACCATTCCTTCTGACACTATTCCAATTAATAGAAAAAGAGGGAATCCTCCCTAACTCATTTTATGAAGCCAGCATCATCCTGATAACAAAGCCTGGCAGAGACACAACAAAAAAAGAGGATTTTAGACCAATATCCCTGATGAAATTGATACAAAAATCCTCAATAAAATACTGGCAAACCGCATCCAGCAGCATGTCAAACAGCGTGTCCACCACGATCAAGTCAGTCTCATCCCTGAGATGCAAGGCTAGTTCAACATACGCAAAACAATAAACATAATCCATCACATAAACAGAATAAAGGACAAAAACCACATGATTGTATCAACAGATGCAGAAAAAGCCTTCGACAAAATTCGACAGCACTTCATCATGCTAAAAACTCTCAAGAAACTAGGTATTGATGGAATATATCTCAAAATAATAAGAGCTATGTATGACAAACCCACAGCCAATATCATACTGAATGGGCAAAAACTGGAAGCACTCCTTTTGAAAACTGGCACAAGACAGGGATGCCCTCTCTCACCACTCCTATTCAACATAGTGTTGGAAGTTCTGGCTAGGGCAATCAGGCAAGAGAAAGAAATCAAGGGTATTCAATCAGAAAAAGAGGAAGTCAAATTGTCCCTGTTTGCAGATGACATGATTGTATATTTAGAAAACCCCATTGTCTCAGCCCAAAATCTCCTTAAGCTGATAAGCAACTTCAGCAAAGTCTCAGGATACAAAATCAATGTGGAAAAATCACAAACATTCCTATACACCAGTAAGAGACAAACAGAGAGCAAATCATGAGAGAACTTTCATTCACAATTGCTACAAAGAGAATAAAATACCTAGGAATCCAACTTACAAGGGATGCGAAGGACCTCTTCAAGGAGAACTGTAAACCACTGCTCAACAAAATAAAAGAGGACACAAACAAATGGAAGAACATTCCATGCTCATGGAGAGGAAGAATCAATATCGTGAAAATGGCCATAATGCCCAAGGTAATTTATAGATTCAATGCCATCCCCATCAAGCTACCAATGACTTTCTTCACAGAATGGGAAAAAAATACTTTAAAGTTCATATGGAACCAAAAAAGAGACAGCATTGCCAAGACAATCCTAAGCCAAAAGAACAAAGCTGGAGGCTAATATCCAGAATCCACCAAGAACTCAAACAAATTTAGAAGAAAAAAACAACCCCACCAAAAAGTGGGCAAAGGATACGAACCGACATTCCTCAAAAGAAGACATTTATGCAGCCAATAGACACATGAAAAAATGTTCACCACTGGTCATCAGAGATATGCAAATCAAAAACCACAATGAAATACGATCTCATACCAGTTAGAATGGCGATCATTAAAAAGTCAGGAAACAACAGATGCTAGAGAGGATGTAGAGAAATGGGAACGCTTTTACACTGTTGGTGGGAGTGTAAACTAGTTCAACCATTGTGGAAGAGAGTGTGGCAATCCCTCAAGGACCCAGAACTAGAAATACCATTTGATCCAGCCATCCCATTACTGGGTAGATATCCAAAGGATTATAAATCATGCTACAATAAAGACACATGCACACATATGTTTATTACAGCACTATTCACAATAGCAAAGACTTGTGACCAACCCAAATGTCCTTCAATAATAGACAGAATTAAGAAAATGTGGCACATATACACCATGGAATACTAAGCAGCCATAAAAAAGGATGAGTTCATGTCCTTTGCAGGGACATGGATGAAGCTGGAAACCATCATTCTGAGCAAACTATCACAAGGACAGAAAACCAAACACTGCATGTTCTCACTCATAGGTGGGAATTGAACAATGAGAACACTTGGACACAGGGCGGGGAACACCACACCCTGAGGCCTGCTGTGGGGTGGGGGGCAGGGAGAGGGATAGCATTAGGAGGAATACCTAATGTAAATGATGAGTAAATGGGTACAGCACACCAACATGGCACATGTATACCTATGTTACAAACCTGTATGTTGTGCGCATGTACCCTAGAACTTACAAGTATAACAATGAAGAGAAAAAAAAAAAGAACAACGCAGGCAACATACAAACACACACACACACATACACAAAAGTCAGGAAACACAGATGCTGGAGACAATGTGGAGAAACAGGAACACTTTTACACTGTTGGTGGGAGTGTAAATTAGTTCAACTACTGTGGAAGACAGTGTGGCAGTTCCTCAAGGATCTAGAACCAGAAATACCATTCGACCCAACAATACCATTACTGGGTATATACCCAAAGGATTATAAATCATTCTACTATAAAGACACATGCACACATATGTTTACTGCAGCACTGTTCACAATAGCAAAGACTTGGAACCAACCCAAATGCCCATCAATGATAGACTGGATAAAGAAAATGTGGCACATATACACCATGGAATATTATGCAGCTATAAAAAAGGATGAGTTCACGTCCTTTGCAGGCATAAGTATGAAGCTGGAAACCATCAGTCTCAGCAAACTAACAAAGGAACAAAAAACCAACCACCACATGTTCTCACTCATAACTTGAGGTGAACAATGAGAACACATGGACACAGGGAGGGGAACATCACACACCAGGCCTGTCAAGGGGTGGGGGTCTAGGGGAGGGATAGCATTAGCAGAAATACCCAGTGTAGGTGATGGGTTGGTGGGTGCAGCAAACCACCATGGCACATGTATACCTATCTAACAAACCTGCACATTCTGCACATGTATCCCAGAATTTAAAGTATAATAAAAGTCAGATTTCTCCAAAAGTTGAAAACTCAGACCAAAAAAAAAAACTTCCCCAAAGCCCAGAATAGAATAAAACTAGAAAGCTCCTCGATTATGATATTAGTTCTAGAATAGTCCCCACTCCACTCCCAATTCAGTGCTCAGAAGTAGAAGACAGACAATTCAAATTGGATTAAAGGCATAACACAGATCCTTGTTGTACATAAATCAAATCCTCAAGGGAACACAAAGTATTACCATCTTATTCACAAAGTTTCAAGCCTAAAGGAAGAAGTTAGTCCAGATTAGGGCATCCTAATCCTTCCAGTTCTATTATCATATAAAAACAACTTAAAATACTTGCAAGAAATATTACATCTATCCGTAAAAAGGGAGTTAACAAAAGATCCCATGATCTTAAAAATACTTTATGACAAAACGCTACCTTTGAGGGAGCACCCTGTCACCTGCATGTAGCAAGTTGGTATTACAATAAACATTCTAACAGTCCAAACCAAAAGAGCTTTTAAAATTACTCTAAAACGTTCATGTTACTAAAAACCAAGGCAACCTAGGAAAATGTTTTTAAAGAATATTTAATGATATAGGACAATTTTTACACTATTACTATAATCTCAATTTTATTTATATACAAGAAAACAAGATAAAGTATATAAAACTGTGAATGTAATGGCTCTCTTAAAGAGTGTATTTATGCATTATTTTTATGAAGCAGAGACCAAGTAAAATGAGATGCACATGAAGATCAGTAAGAATCAACTGTTTCCTTACCTCTTCCAAATTATTCTTTTCAACCAATTTCCATCTCAGTCGAGCTTTTAAGCTTTTCAATGTCTTCTTAATGGACAGCAAGTGATCTACACTGGGACTCTTATTTAAATATTCAATAAGCTGCTTTTTAAACTAAGTAAACAAAAGTTATGTATTTTCAAACACATAAGAAAAATATTGAACAGTGATCATTTATTATTTATCTGTTAAGATTCAACTAGTATTTACTGAGTTCAGGTTGAGATACTAAGAAAATCTTTATTTTTCAACAAGGTAATTCAATAGATTTCCTTTTATCCATGTTTCTATTTAGAAGAATATCAGTTCCAGCACTCAAAGTAGCAAAGACAAAAGTAGTATTTCAAACTGAGACATACAATAAAACACACATTGTTAGTATGGATGAAAAAGGAATTTCTAGTGAGGATGTAAACTGAAATCATCTTTCCCAAAAGTGGTTTGAAAATATGTATCAAGTTTTAATAATGTCCATTCCTTTTAACTCAGTAATTATAGAATTTAGAAATCTGAGAAATAAAAACAAAACAAAATTATGCACAAACATATGTACAGTGTTATTTATGGTAGAAAAAATTGGAAGTAACCTTAATGTCCAACATACATGAAAGGTTAATGGTTAATGTTGCTGTACATCTACATAGGGATGAGGATTTTGTCACTCAAGATGACAGTATAGAAAAATCATTAATCATATAGAAAAATGTTCATAATATACCATTTCATGAAGAAAGTATGCTTGAAATAACTTACAAAACAATGCGATGCATATATATATATGCTCACAAACATATAGATGCACATCCAGTAACTACTCTAAAATTATCTCTTAGGCTAAGGGAATTATAAGCAATGTTTTATTTCTTATCTTTCTGTATATAGCAAATTATCTACAGTAGATGTGTATAGACAAAAAGAAAATGATGTTAATAGTTGTGGTTCTCATAGACATAAGAAAATAAAAGATTTAAAATAATTTAAAAATTTTATATATTTATATCATCAAAAATCACCATTTCCAGTTGATAGTGAATTCTAGTAATAATAGATAATTTACTGACACTGAGTATTAACAAGAGAAAAATTTAAGTGTTAAAAAGTTCAAAGCATCAATTTATAAGATCAATAAGAGAAAGCATAATCAAACCTCAATACTGTCCTTGTACTTAGCTTGTACTGTGGCAATGAGCCTTTCCTCTGAACGAATCTTTTGCAGTACTTGACTGTACGTATTTAAAATTATCTCCTTGTCTGCATCACCTTGATCCTAAAGGAAATCACACACATAGAATTATACACAAAGGAATATCCAAAAGAGCTAAAGTCTCCAATAACAATAGATAAACTTCAAAATTATGCCTTTAACGGATTTCTGTAATGATTTCAAAACAGTTCTTAAACACGAATGTTTTCCTAGACAGAAGACAGACAGATATCAAAGATGTTCATATGGAGGCCAGGCAACATAGTGAGACTCAGTCCCTAAAAAATATTTTTTTAATTAACTGAGCACAGTGGTATTCACCTGTAGTCCTAGCTACAAGGGAGGCTGAGGCAGGGAGATTGAGGAGTTCAAGGCTGCAGTGAGCTAGGATCACATCAATGCACTCCAGCCTGGGCGACAGAGCAAGACACTGTCTCTCTAAAAAAAGCAAAGTCATTCATATGGGAAACTTTACCCCTATTACACCATTATTCCCAAAGCTGTGTGGAGTAAGGGCATTAATGGAAATCAGGGATACTAATATGCTAAATATAAGAACTATAAACAGCATATAGACCTTCAACACTTTACTTTTAGAAATCGCCTGTTAACAACTACTTCTAAAACCAACTCTGACAAAACTATCTAAATCAGGACTATTTAACAATATAAAACTTCTTAATGTATTTTTAATGCCAATATGAATAAAATTATAAAAAGTAAAAAAAAAGAAAAAACAAGAAAATGAGAAGCCTAACCACTGAAACACTGGAAAGCAGCCTGAATAACTGGGAAAGAGTCCCAGTGAGCAATAAATAAAATTACAAAACACCCTTTGGAGTAGCTACACTAATTTTTACCTTGACACAGTAACAAAGAATATACACAATGGTGAAACAAAGAGGATGACGAATCCATCTTGTGTGTCAACTTTCAGACCTCTCTCAGATTTTAAGTTTTCACAAACTCTAAAGAGTCTCTTCTTATAGTCATTGGGTATGACAGATTCAAGAATCAAATGATTTAGACAGATTGTTCACTCAAATTAAGAGCGGTTTTCTTAGAATTAAACAGATTTTTTATGTGAAATGTCCTATTAAAACAAAAACGTCACCTAAGAATAAAACTTTGCATTGTGTTTGGATTAAGAACTTGACATGGTTACTCTTTCAAACAAGCCTATTAGAAGAAAGCTAAGATCAGTCTTAATACCTTCTAACTAACAAGAAAAACTCTCTTATTGGTTAATACTTTCTAACCATGAAAGGAAACCACACTGCTTCAAAGGCGGCAATAATAAAGAATATCGATACTCACAACCAGAGCTATCTCCAGCTCTTTGCAGACACTTGACTCAGTCTTCTCTAGGATTTCATCAATATTATCAACTGCATCTTCAGAAATCAGTGGTTCTTCCATAGATAGGTCAAAAACCTCATTTGCAAAAATAAACACATGAAACATCTCATCTAATTCAATCAGCATGCATTATGCCTTAATACCTGAAGCAGAGTATTAAGCTATACCTTGGACAATGTAAAAGAAATAAGAATGCATAAAAAAAAGTGCCTACCCTCATAAAATTTATGCACTGAAAGGAAAAAGGTACATATGCATAGCAAACCATAAGAAAATAAATGGTTAAGAGAGGGAAGAGGACAATCCTCAGGAAAAGTTGAGAAAAAGGAGGAACAAGACTGATACGATTTTTTTGAGGCTAATAAAAGGAGCAATCTGACTAAAACCTAATAAAGAACCTTGACTGGTAAGGTGGCAAGTTTAAATCTGATACGTAGTAGGTCGATGATGTCAGTTCTTGAACAAAGCATGTGATTTTTAAAATATATATTCCCTGGTTTATGCTACAAACACAACAGGGCAGGAGTTTTTATTACCTTTAAGGTTCTTTGGAACCATGCTACCAGACGCTGCAGAGAAGCATCTGTTTCGCTTCTAACATTGGTGAACTCCTCTCTTTTATCACACTTCCAGTCATAAAATTTTGTAAGTATTTCATCAGAATTTGCTCCTTCTTTGGCTTCTCCATACACTGCTTCTAAAGAGACTGACAAATCCTGCAGAGAGATACACTTCTGTTTATTAAAGTTTGTTAACTCATTCAGGATTCAAGCACTGTGTTAGGATCTAAGGCACAGAAAAGCAGTATGCTGAATCCCCATTCTTGAGAATTTCATAAACACAACTTAGAATCATCAGACAGAGATGAAAACAAAAACCTACCTAGAAGGTGGTTTATTTGAACCATAGTAAAGTTTATTAAGTGAATTAGTTACAAATAGAAAGCTTTATATCCTTACAGTTTTTAATTAAGTAGAAATTACCCTATTTTCCTAACTTTTTTGTATAAATTTATTGGGTAAAAGAGTAATTTTGTTACGTGGATATATTGTGTAGTGGTAGAGTCTGGGCTTTAGTGTATCTATCATCCAAATGTACACTGAACCTATTAACTTCTCAACATCCACCACCCTCTACCCCTACCACCCTTCTGAGTCTCCCTTGTCTATCATAAGAATCACTACTGTTTGTCTTGCCATGAAAGTTTCTAAGACCTATTGCTAAAAAAAAAAAAAACTACACGCCAAAATATACAAATAATTCTAATTAAGTAAAGACATTAAACATATATATGGACAATCATGCATCATTTAATGACACAAATATCTTCTAAGAAATGCAACGTGAGGCAATTTCATCATTATGCAAACATCATGGAGTGTATTGATGCAAACCTAGATGATACAGTTTACGATACAACCAAACTACATTCTATAGCCTACTGCTCCTAGATACAGCCTGTTACTGTACTGAATAATGTAAGCAACTGTAACAACAATTGCCTATCTAAACATAGAAAAGGTACAGTAAAAATAAGTACTATAATTTTATGGCACCACCACCATATATGCAGTCCATCATTGACCAAACCATGCAGCACCTGACTGCACTTAAAGGTATTTTCTAAATGAATTGGCCTGGCTGCGTTTGTTGGGGCAGGTGGGCAAAAAATAATAATAATAATAATTAAATAAAAGCACATAAACAAATAAATAACAATAATAAATAAATTTTTTTAATGTAATAAAGAATTGGAGGGGGGCGCCCAAGATGGCCGAATAGAAACAGCTCCAGCCTCCAGCTCCCAGAGTGAGCGAAACAGAAGACGAGTGATTTCTGCATTTTCAACTGAGGTATCAGGTTCATCTCACTGGGGCGTGTCGGACAGTCGGTGCTGGTCAGTGGGTGCAGCCCAATCAGCAAGAGCTGAAGCAGGGCAAGGCACTGCCTCACCTGGGAAGCACAAGAGGGAAGGGAATTCCTTTTCCTAGCCAAGGGAAACTGAGACACACAACACCTGGAAAATCAGGTAACTCCCACCCTAATACTGCGCTTTACCAAGGGTCTTAGAAAACGGCACACCAGGAGATTATATCCCACGTCTGGCCAGGAGGGTCCCATGCCCACGGAGCCTCCCTCATTGCTAGCACAGCAGTCTGAGATCTAACTGCAAGGCAGCAGCCAGGCTGAGGGAGGGGTGCCCGCCATTGCTGAGGCTTCAGTAGGTAAACAAAGCCTCTGGGAAGCGCAAATTGGGTGGAGCCCACCACAGCTCAAGGAGGTCTGCTGGCCTCTGTAGACTCTACCTCTGGGGATAGGGCATAGCTAAATAAAAAGCACCAGAAACCTTGGCAGATGTAAATGTCCCTGTCTGACAGCTTTGAAGAGACCAGTGGTTCTCCCAGCATGGAGGATGAGATCTGAGAATGGACCGACTGCCTGCTCAAGTGGGTCCCCGACTCCTGTGTAGCCTAACTGGGAGACATCCCCCACTACATGCAGACTGACACCTCACACCTCACGCGGCTGGGTACACCTCTGAGGCAAAGCTTCCAGAGCAAGAATCAGACAGCAACACTTGCTGTTCAGCAATATTCTATCTTCTGCTCCGCTGCTGATACCCAGGCAAACAGGGTCTGGAGTGGACTTCAAGCAAACTCCAACAGACCTGCAGCTGAGGGTCATGAGGGTTAGAATGAAAACTAACAAACAGAAAGGACACCCACACCAAAACCCCATCAGCACGTCACCATCATCAAAGAACAAAGGCAGATAAAGTCACAAAGATGGGGAGAGCAATGCAGAAAAGCTGGAAATTCAAAAAATCAGAGCACATCTCCCCCTCCAAAGGAACACAGCTCCTTGCCAGCAATGGAACAAAGTTGAACAGAGAATGACTTTGACGACTTCAGAGAAGAAGGCTTCAGTCGATCGAACTTCTTAGAGCTAAAGGAGGAACTACATACCCAGTGCAAAGAAACTAAAATCCTTGAAAAAAGAATGGAAGAATGGATAACTAGAATAATCAATGCAGAAAAGTCCATAAACGAACTCACAGAGATGAAAATCATGACACAAGAACTACGTGACAAGTGCACAAGCTTCAGTAACTGACTCAATCAACTGGAAGAAAGAGTATCAGTGATTGAAGATCAAATGAATGAAATCAAGTGAGAAGTTTAGAGAAAAAAGAGTGAAAAGAAACGAACAAAGCCTCCAAGAAATATGGGATTATGTGAAAAGACCAAATTTACGTCTGATTGGTGTGCCTGAAAGTGATGGGGAAATTGAAACCAACTTGGAAAACGCTCTGCAGGATATTATCCAGGAGAACTTCCCCCGTGTAGCAAGGCAGGCCAACATTCAAATTCAGGAAATACAGAGAATGCCACAAAGATACTCCTTGAGAAGAGCAACTCCAAGAGCAACTCCAAGACACATAATTGTCAGATTCACCAAGTTGAAATGAAGGAAAAAATGTTAAGGGCAGACAGACAAAGGTCGGGTTACCCACAAAGGAAAGCACATCAGACTAACAGCAGATCTCTCGGCAGAAACTCTTCAAGCCAGAAGAGAGTGGGGGCCAATATTCAACATTCTTAAAGAAAAGAATTTTCAACTCAGAATTTCATATCGAGCCAAATTAAGTTCCCTAAGTGAAGGAGAAATAAAATCCTTTATAGATAAGCAAATGCTTAGAGATTTTGTCACCACCAGGCCTGCCCTATAAGAGATCCTGAAGGAAGCACTAAACATGGAAAGGAACAACCGGTACAAGCCATTGCAAAAACATGCCAAAATGTAAAGACCATCAAGGCTAGGAAGAAACTGCATCAACTAACGAGCAAAATAACCAGCTAAGATCATAATGACAGGATCAAGTTCACACATAACAATATTAACCTTAAATGTACATGGACTAAATGGTCCAACTAAAAGACACAGACTGGAAAATTGGATAAAGAGTCAAGACCCATCAGTTTGCTGTATTCAGGAGACCCATCTCACATGCAGAGACACATAGACTCAAAATAAAGGGATGGAGGAAGATCTACCAAGCAAATGGAAAACAAAAAAAGGCAGGGGTTGCAATCCTAGTCTCTGATAAAACAGACTTTAAACCAACAAAGATCAAAAGAGACAAAGAAGGCCATTACATAATGGTAAAGGGATCAATTCAACAAGAAGAGTTAACTATCCTAAGTATCTATGCACCCAATACAGGAGCACCCAGATTCATAAAGCAAGTCCTTAGAGACTTACAAAGAGACTTAGACTCCCATACAATAATAATGGGAGACTTTAACACCCCACTGTCAACATTAGACAGATCAAGAGACAGAAAGTTAACAAGGATATCCAGGAATTGAACTCAACTCTGCACCAAGCAGACCTAATAGACATCTACAGAACTCTCTACCCCAAATCAACAGAATATACATTCTTCTCAGCACCACACTGCACTTATTCCAAAATTGACCACACAGTTGGAAGTAAAGCACGCCTCAGTAAATGTAAAAGAACAGAAATTACAACAAACTGTCTCTCAGACCACAGTGCAATCAAACTAGAACTCAGGACTAAGAAACTCAACCAAAACCACTCAACTAACATGGAAACTGAACAACCTGCTCCTATATGACTACTGGGTACATAACTAAATGAAGGCAGAAATAAAGATGTTCTTTGAAACCAATGAGAACAAAGATACAACATACCAGAATCTCTGGGACACATTTAAAGCACTGTGTAGAGGGAAATTTATAGCACTAAATGCCCACAAGAGAAAGCAGGAAAGATCTAAAATTGACACCCTAACATCACAATTAAAAGAACTAGAGAAACAAGAGCAAACACATTCAAAAGCTAGCAGAAGGCAAGAAATAACTAAGATCAGAGCAGAACTGAAGGAGATAGAGACATAAAAAACCCTCCAAAAAATCAATGAATCCAGGAGCTGGTCTTTTGAAAAGACCAACAAAATTGATAGACCACTAGCAAGACTAATAAAGAAGAAAAGAGAGAAGAATCAAATAGACGCAATAAAAAATGATAAAGGGGGTATCACCACCGACCCCACAGAAATACAAACTACCATCAGAGAATACTATAAACACCTCTACACAAATAAACTAGAAAAGCTAGAAGAAAGAGATAATTTCCTGGACACTTACACTCTCCCAAGACTAAACCAGGAAGAAGTTGAATCCCTGAATAGACCAATAGCAGGCTCTGAAATTGAGGCAATAATTAATAACCTACCAACCAAAAAATGTCCAGGACCAGATGGATTCACAGCCGAATTCTACCAGAGGTACAAGGAGGAGTTGGTACCATTCCTTCTGAAACTACTCCAATCAACAGAAAAAGAGGGAATCCTCCCTAACTCATTTTACGAGGCCAACATCATCCTGATACCAAAGCCTGACAGAGATACAACAAAAAAAGAGAATTTTAGACCAATATCCCTGATGAACATCGATGCAAAAATCCTCAATAAAATACTGGCAAACCGAATCCAGCAGCACATCAAAAAGCTTATCCACGATGATCAAGTGGGCTTCATCCCTGGGATGCAAGGCTGATTCAACATAAGCAAATCAATAAACATAATCCAGCATATAAACAGAACAAAAGACAAAAACCACATGATTATCTCAATAGATGCAGAAAAAGCCTTTGAAAAAATTCGACAGTCCTTCATGCTAAAAACTCTCAATAAATTCAGTATTGATGGAACGAACAGAGGACATGAACAGACACTTCTCAAAAGAAGACATTTATACCGCCAACAGACACATGAAAATATGCTCATCATCATTCGCCATCAGAGAAATGCAAATCAAAACCACGAGATACCATCTCACACCAGTTAGAATGGCAATCATTAAAAAGTCAGGAAACAACAGGTGCTGGAGAGGATGTGGAAAAACTTTTACACTGTTGGTGGGACTGTAAACTAGTTCAACCATTGTGGAAAACAGTGTGGCGATTCCTCAAGGATCTAGAACTAGAAACACCATTTGACCCAGCCATCCCATTACTGGGTCTATACCCAAAGGATTATAAGTCATGCTGCTATAAAGACACATGCACATGTATGTTTATTGAGGCACTATTCACAGTAGCAAAGACTTGGAATCAACCCAAATGTCCATCAGTGACAGACTGGATTAAGAAAATGTGGCACATACACACCATGGAATACTATGCAGCCATAAAAAAGGATGAATTCGTGTCTTTTGTAGGGACATGGATGCAGCTGGAAACCATCATTCTCAGCAAACTATCACAAGAACAGAAAACCAAATACCGCATGTTCTCACTCATAGGTGGGAACTGAACAACGAGATCACTTGGACACAGGAAGGGGATCATCACACACAGGGTCCTATTGTGGGGAGGGGGAAGGGATAGAATTAGGAGATATACCTAATGTAAATGACGAGTTAATGGGTGCAGCACACCAACATGGCACATGTATACATATGTAACAAACCTGCACGTTGTGCACATGTACCCTAGAACTTAAAGTATAGTAAAAAAAAAAAAAAAAAAAAAAAAAAAAGCTAAGATAATTATTTACCCAAACTTTGGTGAATGAGTGGGTGACAGTAGGGTTAAATCAAGGAATAAATGTTTGCAAAGCGAAAATTGTAAGAAGCACCCCCTACCACCACAGGTTCGAAAACAAATAACAAATACAGTGGGCTCACTGAATGCTTTCATGCCGCATCGTTTATTGCAAAGGCATCTGTATGATTCTTGCATACTTTACCAATTTTTATTTTATGATAATTTGTATATATTCATTCACTCATTCATTTTCCAACCTGCTTACTCCAATCCAGGGGTCACAGGTGGCCACAACTATCTCAGCAGCTCAGAGCGTTAAGGTGGGAACCAAACCTGGACATGACACCATTGCACTGCAGGACACACTCACGCTCATCCACACTCACTCATACTGGGACAATACAGACACACCAATTCACCTAAGCAGGATGTGAAAGAAAACCACAGTATTCCAAGAAAACCACCCAAATATGGAGAGAATGTGCAAATTCCACACAGACAGTGGGGCTCCAGCTAGAAATTGATTTTCTTCTTCAATGTTATAATGAAATAATGTTGAATGAAAACACGTTATTCAAGGACGGGGTATACTCCTGAAAATAATCCCAAGCAAAATAACTGGATATGGCAGTTTCCCATCAAACCTTCATTTAAAAGCTATGTTGCTGTGTTTTCAATTTCAGTCTCAGTTATGACCTTAGAACACTATAGCTCCAAGCAGTGACAACAGAAAACTGACAAAAACAGTATAAAATTCATCTCAGAAATAACTATCTTTAATTTCTCTCCTTGAAGTCATAAAAATACAAAGGTTAAATTTTAAAGCAAAAATGGCAGGCATACAATTTAAATAAACACCACTGATTAACAATTAGTTTAAAATATCCTTCTGAAAAATATGCTTTTTACCTCATTTCTTTCAGTATTTCCATCTTAGCTGCCAGATTTTTCATTCTGGTATCTATACAGGTCTTCAGAGTGCTTTCTAAGTGATTAGTCAAAACCACAGCAGCTGCTTTCTCTTGCTGAAACAAAGAATAAGCACATCCTAGTGAGACCCAAAGAGGAAACTGTATTTCTGCTATAATTTAAATAATTTTTGGCTGGACATAGTGGCTCACGCCTATAATTCCAACACTTTGAGAGGCCAGGGAGGGCAGATGGCTTGAGCTCAAAAGTTTGAGACCAGCCTGGACAACACGACAAAACCCTGTCTGTACAAAAAAATACATGGGTGTGGTGGTGCGTGCCTGTAGTCTTAGCTACTTAGGAGGCTAAGGTGAGAGGATGGCCAGAGCTAGGGAGGCAGAGGTTGCACTGAGTCGAGATTGTGCCACAGAACTCTAGCCTAGGCAACAAAGTCAGATTCTGTCTCAAAAAAAAAAAAAAAAAAAAGTTTCCAAATTTGAATAAAATAGAATCCAGCTGCTGATTTTTATTTCAAATTAATATTTATTTTTAACTGCTTCAATTAAATAAAGAATGAAGGCTTTAATGATTCTAAGCAAGCTATATATTATCACTCTTGGCACAGCATTTCGGAAATCATTCATCTTTTTTTGGTGCTATGTCTTTTTTTAAATTGTGGTAAAATATACGTAACATAAAATTTATCATTTTAACCATTTTAAAATGTATAGTTCTGTGACATTAGGTACATTCATATTGTTGTGTAATCATCAGCACCATCCATCTCCAGAACTTTTTCATCTTTCCTAATTCTAACTCTGTATCTATCAAACACTACTCCCTATCTCCCTTCCCCCAAGCCCCTGGAAACCACCATTCAACTTTGGGTCCCTACAGATTTGACTGCTCTAGGAACTTCGAATAAAAATACTACATGTAAATATGCCTGTATTAATGTCAAGCAACAACTCCCTTTGGCACAAGGAGTATTTTCTAAGCAATAAAGAGAGATATTTCATAAAGATAAATGGGTCAATTCATCAAAAAGATCCAACAATTCTAAATGTATACTTGCATAAAAAATAACAGAGCTTTTTTAAAAAATCACAAAATCTGATAGAAAAGGGAATAAAACAGACAAAACTACAATAATATTTAGATTTCAATACTTCTCTCTCAGTAGTTGATTGAACAAGTAGAGAGAGAATCTGTCAGGGTCTAAAAGACTTGAAGCCCACTATCAAGCAATTCAGCCTAATATTTATAAAGCACTCCACCCAACAACTTATAGGATACACATAACTTTTAAAAATGAATGGAACATTTCCAGACAGACCATATGCTGGGTAATGAAACAAATGTCAATAAATTTAAAAGAACTGAAACCTGAGTATGCTCTCTGATACCAATAAAATTAAATTAGAAATCAGTAACAAAATATATTGCAGGAACCACTGAGTATTTATCCAAAAGAACGGAATTAACATGCACTCCTAAGTTTACTGCAGCACTATCACAGTATCAAAGACATGGAATCAACCTAAGTGTCCATCAATGGATCAAGAAAATGCAGTATATATACAATGGAATACTATTCAGCCATAAAAAATGAATGAAATCCTGTCATTTCAGCTACATGGATGGAACTGGATGTCATTCTGTTAAACAGGCAGGAAAGACAAATATTTTACATTCTTGTTAATATGTAGGAGCTAAAAAAGTTGATCTCATAGAGGTAGAGAGTGGAATGATAGATATCAGAGGCTAGGAAGGGTGTGTTAGGGACAGAAGAATAAAGAGAGTTTGGTTAATAAGTACAAACATGCAGTTAGATAGAAGGGTAAGTTCTAATGTTTGATAGCAGATGACTATAGTTAACGATGTATTGTATATTTCAAAATAGCAAGAAGAGAAATGTCTTGAAATGTTCCCAACACACAGAAATGATAAATCCTTGAGGTGATCGATATCCTAAATACCTACACTTGATCATTACACATTCTAGGCATATGAAAAAATATCACACATACACCAGTAAATATATACAAATACTATGTACCAAGAAAAAAATAAAATATATATTGGGGAAATCTTCAAATTTGTGGAAATTAAGCACATGCTTCTAAATAGTTCATAGTTCAAAATAGGAGTCACAAGGAAATGTTTTAAATATGCTTCACTAAATAATAAACAAAACATATCAAAATTTGTGGTTTGTAAATAAAGCAATGCTTAGAAAGAAATATTTATCTCTAAAAGTATATTATAAAAGAACAAAAGATTTAAAACAATAATATGGAGGACTTCAGGTTTTGGTTTCACATGTAAGGAGCCTGGAAGTCACTATGCCATCCTAACACATTAAAAAGCTGAACAAAGTGAAAATCAACAACTTTTCTCAGATCTGTAAGAAAAGGTGAGGTAGGTAGGGTCATGGGGAAAGCCGCTACTCCTAAAATTAGACAGACAGGGATACAGAGAATCACAACATAGTGGAACAGAAATTTCTACAGGAAGCAATGCCTAGATAGGAAAATCTGGACTTCTGACAAACTGCTGGAAACTAGGTGTAGGCAAGACTGAGAGGTGAAAGCTCCAGGGGCATCTAGTCATGCTGGCCCCCATGCTTTTGTGAGTTTTACCTCCAGGAGTTAGATCAGGTTCTCACAGTAAATACAGTATCATACATATCATTGCAGTAAAATCCCCTCATGCTTCCAGCAGTGAGAGGGGAAACAAACCATTTTGAAATATCCCAGAGCACTATGTACTTCTTAATAAGATCTACCCTGAAAAGAAACCAGTTAACCACAGCCTAACCTGCTGAGGATTCACCAAAGCCTACCCGACCTGGGGGAAGGAAATAGCCAACTCCAGCCAGCTCTATCCTTCCACATGGAAGGAGGTAAATACCCAATTCTATCCTATTCTAGCCATACTATCCCACCTAAAGGGGGAGGAAAAAAATGAGAAACGCTTGTGAATTCACAGGCCAGAGGCGTAGACTCACAAAAAGACTGAGATCTAATCACAGGACTATACAACACATCACTCCCCTGTATATCTTACAACTACATTATTAAAGACATAATTAAACCAATTGCTTTTTTACCTGATATATCATATACAGTTATCAAGAAAACATTACAGCCAGGCACAGTGGCTAATGCCTGTAATTCCAGCACTTTAGGAGGCTGAGGTGGGTGAATTGCTTGAGCCCGGGAGTTCAAGACCAGCCTGGGCGATATGACAAAATGGTCTCTACCAAAAAAAGAAAAAAGTGCAAAAATTAGCCAGGCATGGTGGTGCACACCTGTAGTCCCAGCCTCCCACTCAGGAGGCTGAGGTGGGAGGATCACTTGAGTCCAGGAGGTGGAGGTTGCAGTGAGCCAAGATCACACCACTGCATTCCAGACTAGACAACAGGGCAAGATCCTGTCTCAAACCAAAAAAAAGAAAAAGAAAAAGAAAAAATTATAAAGAAAAACTCAGAACCAGATGTGGAAGGGATGCTGGAATTATCAGACAATGAGTTTAAAACAACTATGATTAATATGCTATGCATTATAATGGCAAAAATAGATAGCATGTAGTAACAGATGGGCAATGTAAGCAAAGAGATGGAAATCCTAAGAATGAACCAAAAAGAAGTGCTGGATATCAAAACACTGTAACAGAAATCAAAAATGCCTTCAATGGACATCCTAGTAGACTGGACGTGGCTGACAAAAGAACCCAAAACTGAGAAGCAATGACAACAGACTCAAAAGAAACAACAGAAGACCTAAGAATTGTGGGACAACTACAAATCATGTAACATATGAGTAATGAGAATGCCAAAAGGAAAAGAAATACCTAAAACAATACTGACTGAGAATTTTCCTAAACCAAAACATGGATCCAGGAAGCTCAAAGACCACTAAGCTGAATGAATGCAAATAATAATAATAATAAAACTAAACATATCATTTTCAAACTACAGAAAATCAAAGATAAAGAAAAAATCTCAAAGAAGCCAGAGGGCAAAAAACAGCTTACCTATAGAGGAGTAAAAGAAAGAATTATACTCAACATCTGATATACTTTGGATGTTTGCCCCCTCCAAATCTCATGTTTAAATGTAATCTCCAGTGTTAGAGGTGGGGCCTAGTGGGAAGTACTGGTTCATGGGGCAGATCCCTCAAGGACGGCTTAGCACCATACTCTTGGTGGTGAGTCCTCACTCAGTTCACACGAGATTTGGTTAGGACTGACCCCTTCCCTCCCTTGCTCCCCTCTGCCTGCTCCCTCGCTCCTCATGTGATAAGCTGGCTCCCCTTTGCCTTCAGCCAGGATGGTAAGTTTCTTAAGGCCCTCACCAGAAGCAGATTCTGGCACCACGTTTTCTATATAGCCTACAAAACCATGAGCCAATATAAACCTCTTTTCTTTATAGTCAGTTTCAGATACTCCTTTATAGCAATGAAAACGAATATAACATCTCCTTGGCAAGCATGCAGGGAAGTAGAGAATGGAGTGAAATATTTAAAGCGTTGAACAAAGAAAAGTCACCAACCTAGAACTCTATGTCTTAAATCATCCTGGAAAAGCAAAGATGAAATAAAAGACTTAGAGGGAAAAAAAAATGAGGGACTATGCAACTGGTAGACCTTTCTTGAAAGAAATGTTAAAATATGTTCTTTAAAGAGGAGAAAAACCATATAGGTCAGAAACTTGTCTCCACATAAAGAAGGAAGAGCATCAAAGCAGGAATAAGTGAAGGTAAAATATAAACTTTTATTCTCAATTGATCTGACAGAAAATAGTTTCTTAAAAAATAATAGCAACAATGTATTTGATTATATATGTTTATATGTACATATATATGCTTACACATAATTATATATAAGTGAAATAAAAGACATCAACAACACAAGGAGTAAGAGGGAGGAATTAGGATTATTTTCTTATAATAAGGTGCTCACACTACCCATTAAGTGATACAGTGTTACTTGAAAGCGGGCCTGAATTAATTGTAAATGTATACTGCAAACACTAGAGAAACCACTGAAAAACATTTTTTAAAAAAGTATAACTGACATGCTAAGAAATAAGAAAAAATAGAATCATATAAAAT